CCCCCTATAACACTGTTGATAATTCCGTTTTATACGAATTCCATGTTATACGAGTCACTTAGATTTTACAAATACGTGTGCCGGGCTGTGAACGGCTCACGTATTTGTAAAATCTAAGTGACTCGTACAACATGGAATTCGTATAAAACGGAATTATCAACAGTGTTATAGGGTGGTCGACTGTATAAATTAAATTTCTGTAAAGGTTTAGTGTGAATATACACGTTGGTCCATTTTTAATCAGTCCACTGAAATAACTTAAAAAATACACAACTTAAAAAATTATTGAACCAAAAATGCCTGACTTTGGGTAAGCCACAAGATGGAGCTATCGGTTTCATCACAAATGGTGAAAACAGGATCAACTTTATTTTCTTAAATGGAAACCCATTTTTTTATTGCATATTATGATTCTACATCAAAAACAAACAAACTTTTATCTAAAATATTTTTTCAAACAATGCATTTGTCAGAAGTTATGAGTGTGTGAAGCTTTACACAGTTGCACACAGTACAAACATGCATTTATGGACCTGTGAAGTTTATTGGAAAAAATGAAGAAAAATGCTTAAAAATCATTAAATTAAATTAATAAACTATTATTTGGAGGAATCATTCTTTCTTTTCAAATAATGAACTAATGCAAAAATTAATGCTATAGCTTTTTAACACCATAAAGTTTGTGATAAAGAAATGTTGATCTTGATTGACTAAAATAGACCACTCTATTTACCTTATATGTTTGTCTACAATGTATTTAATCTAAGAACCAATTTGACATGAGCTTGGCAGGAATTGATGATATTACATACTTGCAAACCTTTAGAATGGGGTACATTGGTAGAAAAATGCTGTTATTGAATAAAAATTCTGACAGCATGACAAGTGAAAAAAATTCTTTATTAACATTGATATTGCACAATGCTTGTATTAAGAGTTTGGCAATATAGTTTTATACTCTTTAACGTTACAATTTAAAAGTCAAATATTTTATGGGAATGCATCATAAATCTACACCTAGATTTATGATGTGTTCCATCTTGATATGTTATGAATCTTGCAATCGCATGAGTGCCTCCTGCTATATTATATACCTTTATGTGATGTTTTGCTTTGTTAATAATTTCTTTTGTTACAGTACAATGTATTCATGACAGTTGCTCTCAATCAGTTTGTTGACTTTCACTGCAATTATTTAGGGCAATAATTTTTCTGGTTATTTATTTCCTATCTGTTTTTTTTCTTACCATATTGAATATCTTTTCCTTTTGTCATCTATGGGATTTGTGAGATTTTACAAAGATTACAAATCTTTGTAATCTTTGTAAAATCCCACAAATCTCAAACGACCATCTAGTTTCTCTTCTTGAGAAAGTTCATACCATACAGCCTATATATTCTTAAGTGATGAATCAGATGTTTCTTCTTTTTGGGTGGAGAAACTGTAATGCTTCTCAATAATTTGTTACAGATTATAACTGTAAAAGTAACTTGTTTTCTTCCACTGATGAGGTGGCCATAATTGATTTAACCACCAACAAGGCATGATCAGATCACATTTGAACTAAAATTCTCATACATATACCAACATACTGTACATATAAAAAATATCAATCCTAGTTCTTTCCCAATTGAAGGAGTCTGAGAATGTCGTTCTGGTTTGCTTCAGTTGTTTGTAATAAAATACAATGTGTTCAGCATATATATTGGTGTTAGACTCGTTAAATGAAGTGTTTGTGTGATGATATCAAATTCTTTAAAAAGGGAAAAGCAGCCTGTTCATTGACGGAGCATACAAAACACTGATAGTCCATGCCGAACGCTGATGGTTTACAACTATGTAATTATTCTAGACAGCAATTTTAGTGTTAAAGAATAAAGATATTTTTTTTTTTTGAGGAAATCTCATTTAGTTCCAATTTAAAATTTTGTGAGCTTCATTAATAAGATATAAATATCAGATTCATTTATGTGAATCAGAATATTCAATTTTATCCAAACTGATTAGTATAATAGATTTATGACTGCTAAAAAGCATCTTATTTGTATCATTATAATTAATTAATTTATTAAATGTTTTTAATTTTTACGGTATATCTTGTGCAAATAAGTTTTATATTTTCATTTATACAATGGATTATTATACCATTTATTTTTTCTATAATTATACATACATAAGAATATGGTTTAAATAAAAATTTATGCTTATATGTGGACAACTCTGAAAGTTTCTAGATATGTGTGGGTCTCTATGCTGAGTTGAGATATCCAATTTGATTACACCAGTCAATTTCTTTTGTTGTTGAGAATTAATAAACTTGATTCATGGAAATGGAGGTTTCACATTTTCCTAGGAAAAGAGCCTAACTTACTTTCATATTAAAATATAGATTAATTTACTTATAATAATTTACATCTCAAGTTTATAGATAAGCACAATTTTTGTGATCATGATTGTATTATGAGTTGAGAGAAAGAGTAAGATTCAGGAGCCAGAGAATCAAGATACCTCTGAGCATAACTACCAAAGTTCTTTGCAGTCCACAGATGATGTTTCAGACACAAATTGAGAAGAGTTAGATTAACAGTAGGATCTGAAAATTCAAATAACTTTTATCCACTTTCCTCTAGTATTTAAATCCTACTGAGATGTGATTATTTTCTAATAGGTAGTGTTTCAAAATGGTGAGAGGACTTCTGTTTTTCCTGAATGGCAATTATAGACCTCCAGTGTTTTGTTTTCTTTTTTGAAAATTCTCTCCACTTCTTTCTGTCCAGAGAAGTTTTTGTTATTCAACTTCCATCTCTCTTTCAAATCTCTCCTTACATATATCTCAAATCACAATTATTATTTAATTATTAATACACAGTTTCATAATAGAATTAATTTTTATACATTAATATATACTTTGATCCTAATAAATGTCTTGCAACCATATGTAACTTTTTCAATACTGTAGTGTGGCTGCATCACAGGTGCTAACTATTCATAAGCATATGCAAATTATATCGTGTCTTAAAGTACTCCCTACTATATTTTACATAGCATTTTTCACCTTCCCGAACCAACTATACAAGTAATCACCCCACTAAATTTGTGAGATTCTTTCAACATGCTTTCTGTACAGAATATAAAAGCTATCTCTTCTGCATTCTGGAAATGCTGTCCCTAAAGCAGTTTTTTGACTTTTCAGAATAGAAATTAGTCACCAGATACCACATGACTTGTGGGTAGATAGTTCACTAGTTAAATATTTAATTAATTTAGCCAGTAAAGCCATTTCCTTGTCATTGTTGTGATAAAGCAGGAAGCCTTAAGTCTGGTCTCTACCTGTTTCTACTGGATTACCTGAAAGACTTAAATAAATAAATGGTAACATAACTTTAACAGTGACAGTCTTTCAATCCTCTATGAACATAGTTGCAATATGACCTAGTCTGTCAATTTCCATTTTGTTTTCACCTCATGTGGAATGAAGCAGAGTTTGAGAAATGATTCTTGCTGCAAACATTAGAAAAATTGACCTGAGTTAAACCCCATTTAAAACTGTAAAACATTGCTTGAAAATGCTTCCAAGTCATCTCCATTGCAAATATTCAACAGAATGTCAAATATATTTCACTCCATTTCAGAATGGCAGGAGATTGCAAGAGCATGACATTTATTGGCATACCTACTAAACAAAAATTATTAAATTCAGCAAACTGCAACACTACATGTTTGTACTTTTCTGATATCCAGAAACTTTCAGTAAGGCCCATGTATAAAATAAGTATTTTATAATAATAATTTTAATTATTATACTATTATTTATTACAGTTACAATTATGGGATACAGCAGGAATGGAACAATTTCGTCAAGCTATGCCACAACATTATTATAGAAATGCAAAAGCAGTATTATTTGTTTATGACATGACAGACAAAAATTCTTTTGATAATATTAATAAGTGGATTGAAGAATGCAGGAATTATCAAGAAAATGATAGAGTTCATTGGATTTTAATTGGGAATAAATCCGATTGTGTTGACAATATTGTAATTTCTACAGAAATGGCAAAAAATTATGCAAATAAACAAAAGATGGATTTATATGAAACTTCTGCAAAAAATGAAATTGAATCAAATACTATAAATACGCTTATGCTTGACTTAGCAAAAAAATTGGATACTTCTGAACACATTGTCGTCAAAAATGTGCCACGTCCAATTATAATTAAACGAAGAACTCAGGCTCATACATCTCTAATCAGAGATCAAATTATATCTGATTCTTTTTGTAGTAATTGTTAATGCAATGAACTGTGATATTCGAAAGTTACATTAACACATAATTCATTTAAACTAACACAGTATTACATTTACAATTAGGGAAACAGCAGGGATGGAAAAATTTTGTCAATCTATGCCAGCCACAATATTATTGTAGAAATGAAAAGCAGTATTATTTTTTTATGACATGACAGAGAAATTCATTTGTAGAAAGTACTTCTGATGATGGTGAAAAATTACTGTATTTTGGTAAAATCATTTTCTATGAATGCGTCTTTCCAATGTGCCTTTAGCTCAATTTTACAGTTATATTCAATTTTTGAATTAATATATAATAAATAAATGTGTAAATAAAGTAAATAAATCATGCCTGTTTATTATCACATGCATAATAGTAATATATAAGTTTTTGTTAAAATTATTTTATCAAATCTCTGTCAAATCATTATTTGATTATTACTGAATGATTGAGTGATACTCAGTAATTCAAAATCATAAGTAATTGAACTTCAAATCCACTTTTGAGTTCATTTTTGGCATATCAATTTCAGAAAAGAAACATTCTCATTAAATCTATTCCATGAAATGAAATTGTTTTGATATTCATTCACTTTAACTCTCCTTGTGAAGTGAATTGTTATTATTGTGAACACTTCTACATTTTCATATATTGGAATTAAAACAACTATTGTTCCATTACATAATCATTTATAATTAGTGAAATATATTTAAAATGTACTTTAACTTTCAAATAAATTTTTTGATTTTGCCAAGTTAGAAAGAAAATTACATTAATGAAACAATAAATATGTAAGGTTGTATATTGTTATTTTATCTAGAGTTTTTTTGTGTATTTTTCTGAGGTGGTTTTTAAGAGTTTAATGACTTTGAAATATATTTTCACTAACAGTTGTCACAATAGTCAGAACTGTGGTGCTTTTCTCTTTATGTGCTGTATTGATGCTTCCTCAACTTGGTGGAAGATTTTGGAATGTACCTCATGTATTTGCTGAGTGGTTCTCTAGTCCTAGAGTAAAGGTATTTCACACAATCTTGGGGCTGTGGTAAGATCAAGTGGGGCTTTGTCACTGCAATAAACCAAAAATTACATTGTTGCGCTTTTCCATTAGTTGCTTGTTTTCCAATCTAATATCCTTTCTGAAGGTGTTAATTTAAGGGGTTAAAAAGACCTCCCGGAAGGCATCCCCCTATAGGCAGATCGCCCAACCAAAGAAGATTCTACTGTCGTGCTTTAATATAATTTAAACGAAATTTAAGAATCGGAAATATCGTGGAGTATGAGATTACTCGATGTATTGGATTAGCGAGTAACGATACGAATAAATGTTCGTATCGTTTACATTTTCGCAAGCAGAAAAGAGCCTCAAAGGAAAGGTCGACTCTGCTTAATAACCTAAGTTAATATTGTGTTCCTGTGATTGGGAAGGATGTCGTAAAACATCACGTTAGTCTATATTCAGTCATATATACAGTAGAGCGTCGATTTTCCGGAAGTCAATCATTCGAAAGAATTCCAGTCGGCAAATTTAAATTTTCGCCAGTGCTGTGGCGCTTCAATCTTTGGCTATGTCTTGGGCTACTCAAATATTTTACGTTTTTGATACTAAATTANTTTAACATTGTTTATCTAGTAACTATATTTTTTTTTTTTTTTTGCATGTAACGAAAAGAAAAATACAGAATTTTAAAAAAATGAAAAACAAAAATTTTAACGAAATGCTAATAGAAGAGGTAAGGCATTTTATGTGACAGTGTATCTCATTGGTCAAGATTTACGCTGTTTGAGAACTGAACAGATGATCATTTCATACCAATTACCAAACCGGTACGTCTAGTAAGTTGGACGTTGCTAGATTCAACCGACTGTGTTGTCATTGAAAATAAAGGGAATGTGCCAATTTGGTTTCATGCAAAGTGCGTTACGTCCAGTCAAATCGATTTTTGTTTATTACATCGTTGAAAAATGATAATATTTTAGCATATATTATAACAATATATTGTATAAATAATAATAATAGCAAGTATTTATGAATAGCTATTTATTTTTACAGCTGTTTCGTTTGTGGAACTATTGTATTATTTTACTCGACTCTGCAGTTTTGTAAAACAATGTGTATGATTGTAGTTATCCAATAACGACAAGATTATGTTGTCAAACGGCATCACTTATATAACAGATATCTAACAAAATAATAGCCAATCCCTGATCAGTATATTTAATTAAAGATAGATGTCATGATTGGTCTACAATTTTGAAAAAATTGTAAACCTACAAATTTCCACTGTCGTCCGTCTGTCCACCTGTCTTTCCTTAATCTCGAGAAAGGCGTTAGATAGATGAATAACGAGACCAGGGCCGTGTTCAGTAACGCAGAATACCTAAGTTAGAATTCAGAATGGCTTAGTGGGCGGAACGAAGAATGTTCTGAGCATCATTGAAAGATTATTTTTAGTTAGACAACTGGGCAAAATGGTGGACAACTGGGCAAAATGGTGGGCAAAAATGGAGTTAAAATTATGATCGCAGCAACTGTCGCAAACGAACTGGTCGAAAAGGATGAAGTAACCAATACAATTATTCAAATGGAACTTTCGTCTGATCGTGACGAAATTAAATGAAATGAATTAAAAATATGATTAAAAGTCGCAGCCCGGCATTGTGACGATGTCGAAATATATAATTGCTTGCATGTTAGATTTAATTCATTGTCAGTTCGGAAAATGTTTTATACGTCTGCAGTACAGTTTATCGTACAGTACCTGTATATGTTACGTTACCTGTAAACCAGTGGCGTGCGGTGACATTTGATGATAGGGAAGCTGTGCTGGCCCTGGATAGAATCATTGGAAGCGTTATACAATATTTTGGTGTGTAGCATCCACGAACTAAACCACGTGAGGTTGGTGCTCTGTAAAACGCATGCGCGAATGCCTGTAATCTGGCTGCTTTACAGGATTCAAATATTTTTGCCGTGGAAGCTATCCCATATTTAACAATACGGCGCTTCCATTGGGAATATGCTTATACGAATTTATATTTGGAATGTTCGATATTAAATTTGCTCACAAAAAAGACATTTTTAATGTTTTATAAGAATTTAAAAATTTTGCTTAAACTCATATAGCCTACTATCATGAATATTGAGAGGTTAGGTTAAGTATGGGAGGATTCATTATCACGTTTTGCTTAAGAAACTAAAGTTTCCAGTTAAGTGACTAGTGATAAGTAATATTACACTTATTGAGAATCAACTAATGATATTGAAATATTCCATTTAAAATTTTAATTAATATCATGACATTTTTCATTTTTTCACCGCATAGAACCTGCTGGAGATAAAAGTAATTCGTTAAGTTTTCTCAAATTTGCATTTCCTCTGTGATTTGGTGTAGGTCTCAAACACTGAAGTTGAATTTTATCATTTTGTTCCAAAAAGGTGCCTTTCTAATTTCATCACTTTCGTTTTGAGTTTCCAGTACAAAATTGTGCAATGGCGAGCAGTTTTTTTGACGTCGATCAAAGCGAAGCTACTTCTTGCCATCAATACTATAGAATGAAAATGTTCGTAGTTTTAAAACAAAGAATCAGCTTTTGTCAGACATTTTATTCGGAAATATTCAATATATACAGTATAATAAACACAACTAACCCGATAGTTGTTTCAAATACCAAACGAACAGCCTGATTATTTCCTTATCGGGCTATAAGCCTTAGAGTCCAATAAAGAATCAGGCTGTTCGTTTGGCACTTGAAATTTCTAATACAGTTCGCAACATACAATGATTTCTCTGTCATTCCATTTCTGTACTGTAGATACAGACATATACAATGGTTGAAAAGTATTCCATACAACTTTATTTAGTTCTTTGACTATGTTATAAATTATACTTATTCCAATATGATACACTTATCATATTGATTCTCCTGTTGCTAGATACCAGAAAAGAAAGAGACAAAACTTTATTAAGTTTTGTTTTTCTTTACTGTATACGTTGGTATGTTAATTAATCTTAATAGGGTTACATTCTAATTTTATTCTTCATTTTTACAGGAGGAGAAGTTGAAGCAAAATGACAGAATTTAACGAATTAATTATACGAGAGAAAAGGGAAAATTGAAGAACGTTCCTTCTTGATTTTATGCAAATATTTTCCAAAAATAACATCGCCATATTTTACTGTTGTTTTTAGATAACACATTGCAACGTCAATTGTAAAAGAATGTCAGGAAACGTCCCAGATATTCCAAATGTTGATGTATATTTTGAGGAGCATATGAATTCTCAACAGGACTCTCAGCAAAAGTCTTATTAGGAAGTTAATTTTTAACTTTTCTTTTTACTGTTTTTGGGCTGCAATTTGAAAAAATTGTAGATCTATAAATTCCTATTGGTGTCCGTCTGTTTGTCTTTCTTTAATCTAGAGAACGGAATTACAAATGCTGTGCTGCAATTTTTAATTTCTTTCATTTAAAATGTATGCTCTCCATCTCAAATTAGTAGTGGCTTGATCTATATATTATACTTTCTCGTTAGCAATGGAGTCATGCAGTCATCTATTAGCTGCTTTCAAGGAAAGTTTTGAATTGAAATAACATGATTTCTGGTTCGAAGTTCTTATGTAGACATCAAACGTTCTTATATAGTTAATCGGGGTCTCCTGTCCATGCGGTTTCCATATCTGGTTTCGTTATTCATCTATCTAACTCCATTCTCGAGATTAAGGAAAGACAGTCGGACGACAGTGAGAATTTATAAGTATATAATTTTTTCAAATTGCAGCCCAATAAACTTGAGCACAGGTGTAAATCAATCTTTATTTGATTATTTTTAGTGATTATTATTTAAAATAGTTTTATCTCGGATGAACGAAAATTTGTATTTTAAACAATTAATTACGTTTTCAAATACACAAGAACCGACTGAGGTCTTTTTTAATTAAAAAAGTTTTTAAGGTTAGCCTATACTTATACTTTTTAGATTTTAAAAATTCTTCTATAAGCATGTTATAATTCTAGAAATCTGGATTATGTGTTACGTGTAGCTGTAATTTTTATTTTTAAACCATTTGTAAATTCACATTTATTTTATTACTATTATTTTCTCATTTCTCGATATGAAATAAATGTTTATTATAACGCAAATATCACATATAGCATTTAATTCTAAAATAAGATCTAAATAACTGTTGTTATAATTCCATTCTGCATCGAAATATCCCCCTCTGTGTGGGTTCTGAGGCCTTTTGCAACAAGCTTATGGGTTCACTAGGCCCACAATGAGCTGCTGGCGATGAAAGTCGGGGTCCCGGTATATTCGGAAGGACCAGTCCAAAAATTTCCTAGGGTTTTCCGACCGCTCGGAATTCGATCCTGGATCCTCCAGAGAGGAAAGTTGACGTCTTAACCGCACATTAAAATATTTATTGGTTTAAAACGAAGAGGAAGGAGCGCCTCTAGTGCGAGTTCCCATTTTATCAGTTTGACAGATACTAGCTAAAATGAAAGTTAAATATAAGTTACTTTCTTTTCCCAATTAAATGTCGTCAAGTTGTTTTCGGAATGATAATTTAATATTTAAAGTTATTTTAATTGGAGATTCGAATGTAGGCAAAACATGTTTAATCGAGAGAATATGTCACGGAAAAATTATTGAAAATCCCAAAATTACGATCGGTTTTGATTTTTACTCGAAAACTGTCACACGCAATGGAAAAACTATTACAGTAAGAATTTTTATAGTAAATATTTTATTGGTTTAGTGATAAAATTGAAAGTTCCTTCGTATTAAAAATCATCAAACAAAAAAAAAAAGAGCCGACACTAAATATATATGGAGTCGTTTTTATTAGATTTATACCGTGATAGATTAAGTATTATTACTTTGATAGCTCGCAATATATTTAAGTAATTTTAATAGTTTACATTTTCTGAAATTTGCCACGTGGTTCCAATTTAAATCTTTTACAGTCATTTTAAAAATGGTTTGACAAGTAATTTTCCCTTTAGTGAAGTATATTTTTGCAGAACTATTCATATTGTAAGGTAGAAATATAGAAAAGACTTAACAGTTTATTTTTACATATGTGTTCATTTCTAATTAATTAATTAAATTTTATTAATGTAAATATTTAAATTAAACTAATAAATACAGTACAAATTTAACTAAATTTTTAAAATAATGTATGGTAAACTGTATAAACACACAATGAATTTTTTTTAATTTTAGTATGTACTGGTACAGTATGTGATTGTGTCAGCCACATTATCAACTAATACCAGTGTGTTGGATTATGAGACAGTTTCTATTACAAGATGCTTGTCATCAAGAAATTGTTTCAAAAATAAATTTCGGAAACTTTTTAAATATGATTTTTAATAGCTAGATAAATCACGTATATCATTGAGTTTGGAATAATTTTTATTACAGTATTGTAATCAAAATATAAGTTTGGCTAGTAAAATAAGCATTTCACATATATCCCATTATACTACAGGACAATAATATTTAGGTAATTTACAATAGCATTACTATTTCGGTTCAACATTAAATCTTATAACATTAAAATCTGCATAACATAAAAAATAATATGGCTAAAAAGTTTGCCAAAAGTAGACATTTCTGAATGTTTCTAAAACTAGATACCTAATCTAAAGCTATAAAATCTAAAAGTGTTTCTAACAAACACAAAAGATCTTGGTTTTTTCTGATTCTTTATCAAAAATGAATTCTTTAGTACATTTGCAAATTATTCTTCCTTTAAAACATATATCCTGTTTGTTAGATTTAGTGCATTTAAAATTGGTTTAGCATACTGGGATATTAATTATGGTGAATTAGATTATTTCGTAAAATAAATGCTTCAGAGATCACTAATATTAATCAGAGATGCTCTAATGTTCAGCCAAATTATTGTAGGGTCAACAACTTTGAGGCACAAAATAAAGCTCAAAAGCCATTTTCTCTGACAATGCTTGTTTTTCTGATTCATTATTGTGGTGACACTGCTTCATACCAAACTTCCTGTAGTTGTAGTCTATGTAATGTGCATTTTATTTACATGTTGAGTCTTACTGTCAGATCTGCTTCTGATATTATTATGCCACAACTTTCAAAAGTATTCTTAGATGTTTATTTAATGTTTTTGCTGAGCTATACTTTTTTGTATAATTATTGCTGTCATTTAGTAATAAAATTAAGAATGTGTGTATATGAAATTTATTTATCTTTTCTATTTTGAATAACATTGAAATAGATATTTTATGTAAGGTCATAGTGATAAAGCCATTTAAGTTGCAACGGTTTTGAAAATATTTCCTTGTTTATTCAAACTTTTAGGTTTATTGTCATACGTAACAATAAATTATAAAAAATAAATAACATGAATTTTGGCACAATTTGATCAATAAATAATTCTTAAATAATTTATTTTGTACATACAAAATGAAGTTGATATACTCTTCTTACAATCCAAAAAGTATTCAATACATTTTAAAAAAAGGGCTCATCAAGTTTTAAAAAAACTTGTAATATTTTTTAAAGTAAAATAGACTCCCAAATAATTTTGACAGTGTTTTATTTGCAATCATCAGTCTTACATTGTTTAATAGTTAAATTTCAACTTCAATTTTAGTTTTTATTATTATTTGTTACAAGTTGAAATTGGCTCAAACTACTCTTAATAGAAATATACTGAATGTCACGTTTCACATGAAGTTATTATCAATAATGCATAATTTTTTGTTATGTAATATACAGTGACTCCAGTTTACCAGATTTTTAAAAAATTTTTATTATAAATATTTGGGTGGCAGAACCATTATAAATATTTTGGATTGTTTAAGGAGAAAGTTTGAGAAATGTTCTGTATACAGTATGTTAAACTTGATGTAGACTGTGAAAAAGGTCAAAAAATGTTTGTTTAAATAAAATATAGTGTTGCTGGAAAAAGTAAGGTGTAAGCTAAATTTAGTTTTATCTTAAATAGAAGTGTTTTTAAAAGATTCATCATTGAGCAACCAATAAATTTTATTTCCTTGTTTAAAGCAGTGAAATATTTTATTTTTTAAATTACTCAAGCTAATGCTTTAATTTAGCTTAGCTGCAAGGAAATATTTTGCTTGATGCTCAACTGACCAGGAAAAAAAATTTTGAATGTAATATAAATTAAATAATCTGTAAGTTTAGAAATACATAGCCACATCTTGATATAAATAAACAAACGTTTAATAGTTTATTAGAATTTTATTTCATTTCTGTCAAAAATATTTCCATTTTAAAATTGAAAAAGTAAAAATGAACTTACCTGTAAATCAAAATAAATCCACTTGCACTTAAAAGTTATCATAGTTTGCCAATCTTGGTAATAAAATTAAAGTAAAATTTCTTGTAAACTAAATAATGTAATTATTAACAGATGTTAGTGTGTCTACTTTCAATCCCAAAATTACGATCGGTTTTGATTTTTACTCGAAAACTGTCACACGCAATGGAAAAACTATTACAGTAAGAATTTTTATAGTAAATATTTTATTGGTTTAGTGATAAAATTGAAAGTTCCTTCGTATTAAAAATCATCAAACAAAAAAAAAAGAGCCGACACTAAATATATATGGAGTCGTTTTTATTAGATTTATACCGTGATAGATTAAGTATTATTACTTTGATAGCTCGCAATATATTTAAGTAATTTTAATAGTTTACATTTTCTGAAATTTGCCACGTGGTTCCAATTTAAATCTTTTACAGTCATTTTAAAAATGGTTTGACAAGTAATTTTCCCTTTAGTGAAGTATATTTTTGCAGAACTATTCATATTGTAAGGTAGAAATATAGAAAAGACTTAACAGTTTATTTTTACATATGTGTTCATTTCTAATTAATTAATTAAATTTTATTAATGTAAATATTTAAATTAAACTAATAAATACAGTACAAATTTAACTAAATTTTTAAAATAATGTATGGTAAACTGTATAAACACACAATGAATTTTTTTAAATTTTAGTATGTACTGTTACAGTATGTGATTGTGTCAGCCACATTATCAACTAATACCAGTGTGTTGGATTATGAGACAGTTTCTATTACAAGATGCTTGTCATCAAGAAATTGTTTCAAAAATAAATTTCGGAAACTTTTTAAATATGATTTTTAATAGCTAGATAAATCACGTATATCATTGAGTTTGGAATAATTTTTATTACAGTATTGTAATCAAAATATAAGTTTGGCTAGTAAAATAAGCATTTCACATATATCCCATTATACTACAGGACAATAATATTTAGGTAATTTACAATAGCATTACTATTTCGGTTCAACATTAAATCTTATAACATTAAAATCTGCATAACATAAAAAATAATATGGCTAAAAAGTTTGCCAAAAGTAGACATTTCTGAATGTTTCTAAAACTAGATACCTAATCTAAAGCTATAAAATCTAAAAGTGTTTCTAACAAACACAAAAGATCTTGGTTTTTTCTGATTCTTTATCAAAAATGAATTCTTTAGTACATTTGCAAATTATTCTTCCTTTAAAACATATATCCTGTTTGTTAGATTTAGTGCATTTAAAATTGGTTTAGCATACTGGGATATTAATTATGGTGAATTAGATTATTTCGTAAAATAAATGCTTCAGAGATCACTAATATTAATCAGAGATGCTCTAATGTTCAGCCAAATTATTGTAGGGTCAACAACTTTGAGGCACAAAATAAAGCTCAAAAGCCATTTTCTCTGACAATGCTTGTTTTTCTGATTCATTATTGTGGTGACACTGCTTCATACCAAACTTCCTGTAGTTGTAGTCTATGTAATGTGCATTTTATTTACATGTTGAGTCTTACTGTCAGATCTGCTTCTGATATTATTATGCCACAACTTTCAAAAGTATTCTTAGATGTTTATTTAATGTTTTTGCTGAGCTATACTTTTTTGTATAATTATTGCTGTCATTTAGTAATAAAATTAAGAATGTGTGTATATGAAATTTATTTATCTTTTCTATTTTGAATAACATTGAAATAGATATTTTATGTAAGGTCATAGTGATAAAGCCATTTAAGTTGCAACGGTTTTGAAAATATTTCCTTGTTTATTCAAACTTTTAGGTTTATTGTCATACGTAACAATAAATTATAAAAAATAAATAACATGAATTTTGGCACAATTTGATCAATAAATAATTCTTAAATAATTTATTTTGTACATACAAAATGAAGTTGATATACTCTTCTTACAATCCAAAAAGTATTCAATACATTTTAAAAAAACTTGTAATATTTTTTAAAGTAAAATAGACTCCCAAATAATTTTGACAGTGTTTTATTTGCAATCATCAGTCTTACATTGTTTAATAGTTAAATTTCAACTTCAATTTTAGTTTTTATTATTATTTGTTACAAGTTGAAATTGGCTCAAACTACTCTTAATAGAAATATACTGAATGTCACGTTTCACATGAAGTTATTATCAATAATGCATAATTTTTTGTTATGTAATATACAGTGACTCCAGTTTACCAGATTTTTAAAAAATTTTTATTATAAATATTTGGGTGGCAGAACCATTATAAATATTTTGGATTGTTTAAGGAGAAAGTTTGAGAAATGTTCTGTATACAGTATGTTAAACTTGATGTAGACTGTGAAAAAGGTCAAAAAATGTTTGTTTAAATAAAATATAGTGTTGCTGGAAAAAGTAAGGTGTAAGCTAAATT